CTGTTCTTATCAGCAACCATAGGCAGCTGGTGAGGGTCTCTTAAGTTTGTAAATAAAAGAAATTTGTACAATATATTGGCAAGAGTGAATTGTTCATCAAACTTTGAAGTATAGTTAACATAGTTATGGTGACATTGAAAGTTATTACTAAATGACATCAGCTGTTGGGAATAGTATGCAACATTTTGTAATCATGGTTATGAAGAGAATGTAGATATTAGTTGTGTATTCATATAGAAAATTGTTTTATTGAAACAAACTGTACAATCAATTCATCATTTAACCAGAACGTTCTAGAATTCTGATATTTAGATTGTCACTAATAAAATCTTACTTTAGAAATAAACCTAGTGGAACCACAATAAAAGATAGACAGATAGTGTAGAGAAATTGGCTTTTAGTGTCATTTTCTGTCGGCACTGATCGTTCATTTCATTCAGGAATTGCATTCACTGTGGAACTAAACCATAATTATGTTTATATAGGATATTTGTTGGACATGACATTGAGTATGGATAAATATATCAGGTAATGAGTTATATAAATAGAAAATAGTATCAGTACAGTTGAGTGAGAGTTGAATTTTGAAAATATAGCTGATGATGAAGTATGTAGATCAATATCCAATGTATTATAAAGTTTTTTACTATTATGTGACTATGGTGGATGTCAATGAATAATTTTGTTTAGTTACACCAATAATGTATACTATCAAGATTTATTAGCTTGGCAGAGAATTGTCAAATGCTTTTAAGGTTTAACCAAAATGAAAGTCCACTTATGGCTGTAATGATTTCTAGACGATCATTTTATTAATATTCAAGTACATTGGTTGTATATTGTCTATATTTGAGCTGATTGCCTTTATTATTATCTGTCTTTGTTGTTGTCTGATAGTCTGATAAGCTTTGTTATTCTTCTAATAACTCAACATCTTTTCTTTATGATATGACAGGGATAATTCTTATATCAGTACAAAAAAGTCCTGAATTTTTTTATGGAAATTGAAGTGACATGTTTCTTTAAAAGTAGAATAGAAACGGAAATAACATTTTTAAGGGCAGTAAGGTGGAGTTCAGTTAAGTAAGTTAATGAATCTACTGGACTCAATGGTAACAAATCTTTGTAGACTCTGTATCTGTATCTGTATTGGACTTGTATCTGTAGAGGACTTGTATCTTGCAATTAGAGAACTATTATATAGCAAAATACTTGTATCTTGCAAAGGACTTGTATCTAATATGAATCTGGCAATGAGAGGACTTGTATCTGGCAATTGAGGATTTGTATTAAGAAGGGGACTTTTCCTGGTATTTAAAGGATTTGTATCTAACATGGAAATTGTATCTGGCAATAAGACAACTTCCAACATGCAATTAGAGGACATGTATCTAGCAGTATCTAGAATGGTACTTACATATGGTTATGGATGAGTTTCTAGCAAAGGACTTGTATCTGTAGTAAGAAATGGTATTTATTCTATGATAATGTATTAACTTGGCTCCACAATTCTGATGAACTGAATATGGTTACTATTTAATTTGTATGATTTACTGATTGTAATTGTCCATTAGGAATATTCTCTCTAGACACTGAAGTTTAAGACTCTATAAAGACACTTTAAGCAATGAGTTATGATACATCTCAGACATTGAAATGTTCAGCTCAATTTCTTTAATCGTAAAAATATTGGTCTGGATATATATTTAATTTTATTCAATTAATTCAAAATCTTTGAGTTGGAACTGTTTGATATTTACAGAAGATATTTACAGGTTGAATAGATAGTATGTTATATAATACTGCATGTAATAAAAACTGATAGAAAAATGCTTATTTCTGAATTTTGGCAGACTTACTAACTCAATGTGTGGTACTAATCTCTCTAGTCTATGTTGATTGTGAAGATTTTCTCACTGTGCGAACTAAAATTAAGTGAATATTAAAAAACTTAGTTCCAGGTTTATTATAGCCTTGTTTTCTCAAGTATTTGCCAAAATCAATAGATTTTAAATAATGGCATTTTTGTGGTGCTGTTAAAAAGTTATTATTCAAGCAACATCTTTAGAGATCTTTAGGATGTAAAGTCAATATTTTATGGGAATCAGAGTTGACTAACTTTATTGCTTCTGAAACGAAATCAAAATAAGAATTTCTGATGGAAGTTGTGTAGAAGTGAAAGAGTTATATAATGGATTTAAATTCAATTTTATTTCGTGGTCTGCAGTGAACAATTTAGCTTATAATAATGTAAGGAGATGGTATTGTGTACAGAAAAGTTGTTAATGTATTTCAGTGAAATTCAGTAAATCTCATTGAGAATTTGTTTTGCAAAACAGCTTATTTGAAGGTTAACCAAATTGCTTGGAAACATCAGTTCAAAAAAGATAATCAATGATTATTTTTTTCAGAAAACACTTCTTATATCAGAGATTTTAGTTCATGCAAACTATAAATGTAAATTTTGTCATATATGCATTAAGAAGTTTATATTCAGAAAATGTTAAAAATGATGTTTATGGAGTAATATTTGAATATTTGAATTTTTGAAGATAATTGATATGATAACAGTAAATAAAGGGGTCAGATAACAGACAGATAACAGATTGTTCTAGCAGTATGATATCCCACAAAGGTCATCATTCAAGGTTAAATTTATTCAGGATATATTTGAATTGAATATTAGAAATTTAAATCTCAGCTGATGTATGTAAAACAGTTTTTATTCTATGATTCTTTGGTTTTGTTGTTTGACTAAAACATCTGTGATTACAATAGTTTAGTTGTGTCTGCAAGTGACAGCTTTCATAATCTTAGTTTAAGTAATCACCCATGGACCTGTATAGGAATCTTGAGGAGTGTTGAGGGAATGTACATTAGAAACTGTTTATTAGAAGTAAATTTATTTTCAGTGTTAGAAAAGAATGTTCTATATTGAGATGAACAATTTGTGTTTCATGTTGATATCTACGTTTTGTTCAAAATGTGAACAAGGGCTTGCTCTTAGAACTTAAATTTTAAGAATGGTTGATGTTTGGTTGTCTTTTTGCAAAAAATTATTGGAAGTGTTTGAATTGAAACACTTTTGAATTATGCTTTATAAAAGAGTCATTGAAACACTTTTGAATTATGCTTGTTAAAGTAGTAATTGAAACACTTTTGAATTATGCTTTATGAAAGAGTCATTGAAACACTTTTGAATTATGCTTGATTAAGGAGTCATTGAAACACTTTTGAATTATGCTTGATAAAAGAGTCATTGAAACCCGTTTGAATTATGCTTGATAAAAGAGTCATTGAAACACTTTTGAATTATGCTTGATAAAAGAGTCATTGAAACCCGTTTGAATTATGCTTGATAAAAGAGTCATTGAAACACTTTTGAATTATGCTTTATGAAAGAGTCATTGAAACACTTTTGAATTATGCTTGATTAAGGAGTCATTGAAACACTTTTGAATTATGCTTGATAAAAGAGTCATTGAAACACTTTTGAATTATGCTTGATAAAAGAGTCATTGAAACACTTTTGAATTATGCTTGATAAAAGAGTCATTGAAACCCGTTTGAATTATGCTTGATAAAAGAGTCATTGAAACACTTTTGAATTATGCTTGATGAAAGAGTCTTTGAAACACTTTTGAATTATGCTTGTTAAAGTAGTAATTGAAACACTTTTTGAATTATGCTTGTTAAAGTAGTAATTGAAACACTTTTGAATTATGCTTTATGAAAGAGTCATTGAAACACTTTTGAATTATGCTTTATGAAAGAGTCATTGAAACACTTTTTGAATTATGCTTGATAAAAGAGTCATTGAAACACTTTTTGAATTATGCTTGACAAAAGAGTCATTGAAACACTTTTTGAATTATGCTTGACAAAAGAGTCATTGAAACACTTTTGAATTATGTTTGATACAATGCTGATAGTACATGAAATATGTTTGAAGTATGCTTTTGGGGTTCAAAACAAGCTAATAGGTTTTAAAAAGGGCAGTAACTATTGACAATAACAATTCCAAGGTATCCAAATTTCATAAATTTTGATAGGTTAGTTGTATGGTTCAGGTATATTTTAGTATTATTATCAGTAAGGTTAGATATGAAAGATAAAACAGGTTTCATTTCTGAATGTCCCCATTTTAATTTGTCGTACTTTGACCTCTTGTGATCTATGTCTGTTGAATTGATTTATTGAATGATTCAATTTGATATGTAATGAATGAAACAACAGCTGCCTATCTGCCTGATGAGTTCATCTCATTGTCTCATTTATATAATATTACCTATGTGAACTCTCTGAAAGGGATGTCAGTAGTAATATATTCAAACTTTGAAATTCAATTTCAGTGTGTCCAAAGGAAGAGATTTAGTTGAAAATGTGGATCTATAAAGTTGAATGGTAGAACAGTGATATATTACTATTCTCTTATGGTCTATTGTTTGACAATATTTACTTACCTCTTGTATCTTTACAGCTTTGGTTTTAATTCAAAACTTTTGACAGGGACTTTTTCATCTGGTGACAAGTTGAAAAGCCTGTAAATAGTCATTTTGTCACATTTTGACTTGAACTTCAAAGTAAAAGTGTATAATACTTTAGTTAAAATCTTTTTGCTCCATATTATTCTGGCTGAATGAGATAACTACATTCCCATGTGATCACATTCAGATATATTTATGCAATTATACATACATTAGTAATGTTTGTGCCATTATGACAAGCCACAACGAAAGTGTGTAAGAAATAATAATTAAATGTTTTCTTGACTTAAAAGATAGAAGTTATAAATAGTTTCATGTGGTTTTTACAATTTGCTCAGTATATGATCACAACTAAAATTTTGTCTTATTGTGGAATAATGTGATAATTTGATGTGATTATCTTATCCCAACTAGGATTACGTGTGTGTGATCTATATGTGATTATTATTCCGATGTGATTATTCATCTGTGATTTGTCTGTGTATATCCTGTGGAATATAAACGGATATCATAATGTCTGATTTTAAAGCAGAACTAGAAGGTAAGTTGACAATTTATTTTCCGAAGAATGTCCATTGAATTTAATCAATGTCAAACCATGGCAATTTTTTTTTCATAGTCCAAAAATGGATCCTAGTGTAAAGGATACCTTTCTGTAGTAATGAATGCAGATAAATTATTATAGCTGATTCCAAAAGATTTATCAAAAGCCTAAAATATAATACATTTGACCTCATTTAACTTTCAGAAATTAGATTAACACAATGTCACATACAGGTGAATGTATTAGTTTCTGTGGTTTGACTATAATGACTAGTACTGACTAGTACTAAGTACAGATAGATTATTTCAATGGTCATTCTTTTTAAAAATATCTTAAGAAAGCATTGTTTGGACGTTTCATTCAAACTAAGAACATAATTGCATCTTAAGTTGAGAAAAAAACGTCATGGAGTTTTAATTATTGAGTTCGCAAGAAAAATGTTACCACTTGGTAGAAAAAAAATATTGAATCGTGAATGTCAAAGAAGAAGGAGGCAAAAACTTGAAGGTTTTAATAATTGTTTGAAGGGAAAAAGTTGCATATATTTTGAGACTTGTCATTTTTGATTATCCTTTTTCATTTCTGTTTCATAATTATTGTTAGAAGTGTTAATTAAAAATGATAAAAAAGCTTCAATATTCCGGCATAAAAAATTAAAGACAAAAATCTTGAATATTTGGTAAAAGGTTTTCTTTTTCTATTTCAGAGGCTGAACCACTAAATCCTTCTCATAGATCAGAACCTAGTCCAGAACATGTGTCAAATGATGTCAAAAGCAACAATGCTTCCCCAACCTCACCAGTATCTCCTCCATCACCACCAGCTACACCAGCTACACCATCTACACCATCATCACCTGCATCTGATGGTCCTCCAGAAATAATTATTACAGCAGTCAATGGTGATAATACTGCTGCCTACAATAAAAGTGGTGATCCAACCAAGTCTCGATTTACTGTTACTACTGGAGTTGATAAACCTGGTATAATAAAGTTTTTATTTTGTTTTATTTTTATATTGTCCAATTTGAAATTTTTGAAAACATAATTCACTACCAATATATCACTTTATGAGGTATTACTATAAATATTTGTATAATGCAGATTGTTTGTTCCAAGTCACGGTACCTATATTTTGTACAAGAGTAAATCTATATGTTCAACTACCCAAAAGAAACAAGGTGTCTATTTAGATCACAAAAATCTCATAATTACATTTTGTACTTTTGAAAAGCTAAAGATTTTCTTTTAGTTTCAGTCTTTTAAGATAACTCAATTTGTGCCAGATTTTCTTGACATCAGTAAAGGAAAGTCTGATATTGTGATGCATTAATTCGAAGAAAAAAATCAATTGGAATTCAACCATGTTTAATTTCCTGTTAAAGATTTCTAAAAGTTGATTAAATTGATAGATTTGTGTAGATTAATAAGATGAGTAGAAATGATATTTAAAAGATAAACTGTTAATGAATATGTTTTTAATTCATCGGAAATTTATTTTCGGAAATTGTTCAGCATAATTTCCGTATCAGTTTGAATCTTACAAAATACCATTTTAGTCCTAAATAGATCTTCATAATCTCATAAAACAAACACTTTTGACCAATCGTACGTTTGTCTCAGAAACGGGAAATTTTTAGCTAAGCCAATCAGTAACAGTGTTCACAGCTCACCGTCCAACTTTGAGCCTTCAGATACATGTGTGTCTAGAATTATCATCGTTTGAAAGTTAAAATGATGACTCATCTTAACTTGAGATTCTGCCAATTAGAAAAAGAAAGTGAAATTTCTAGTTTGAAGTATATTCGAAGGAATAATGCCATTTTCGTGCAATTATAGTAGTTCTGAATTTTTTTTAAACATGTGTCACTGTCAGCAGCATGCTATGAGCTCTTTTCAATTAGATATGAATCATGGGTATTAGTATTGTAGCACAGTCTCATAGTCTCATTTACCAGCTGAGAAAGATCAATTTCTGATTTGCGTGGTGCTGAAATTAAGTTGATCACCTGGTGTACTGAGCATTAAATAATTGAATTCTTCAACTTGTTGCTATTATATTTTATCTCTGTGTTTAATATGATAAACTATATTGCTTATGCTTATTGGCATTTTTTGCATAGCAATTCATAAATAAATTTAATGTTCTTTCATTTAACATTTAAACATATTTTGTTATAGATGGAATGATGTTTTCCATTTGCATATAGCACATTGTCATGCAGGTGGCTTTCTGAATAAGTATGCACTTTAATTTGAAATTACAGAATTTCAGTTTTACAAAAAAACATTCATGATTCATCTACTTATGTCATAACTTCTCTTAGACACAAACTGAATCATTCATTTCAAATAAATCTCTATAGTAAAATAATTTGCTTAACTGTTTTAATGGTTGATTTGATAAAACTGTATTGACTAAACTATATCATGCCTCTCTGGAATACGACAGTTTCGTTTTCTTATTTTAACATTCAGTTATCTTAAACTGTAATTGAATCACACTTCTACTCAATTCAATAGAAGGTAGGAGCCTATTAATTCAAGTATTACTTTGCCAATATTTGCCCCCTAAAGACTTGAGATTGCCATTATGTATCCACAGTCAAGTCATTTCAAGATAATGAAGCAAGGATTAGAAATTGAGATTGAGAGTTTAGGGCTATCTGTTATCAACTATTGTATTTGAATTTTGTTCCATCAAAGTATTGAAGGATGGGTATTCTTCTTATCTGAATTAGATTATAATCCAAGCAATATTTGAGAAATGACAACTTGACATTTTTTTTATTGTGTACAATTTGATTGTTCAATGATTTAGACCATCTTTAGTACAAGAGCTGGGTATAGATTACCAATTGAGATTGATTATCGACAGCATGCTAAATGTTTTAATTAAACCTTGTTAATACGAAACAAAAAGTATTTCCAAACTTTTAATTCCATGAGTCATTTTTGTGTCACAGAAGTATATTGTTATTTGATCGGTTATAGATATTATGACTTGTGTATAGGTACACAGGAGAAAATGTAACTTTGACATTTAAACCATTATGATGAAGTTCATTAATCGATAACCGTAATTAAAAATTCTCACTAAGATTTCCTGGAATTGATTCCAAAGTTCGGATTCTGGCAACTAAACTATTGTTGGTTGAAGAACATTAACCCCAAGAAATTTTTACACATGCTGATAAAGAAATCTAGTATATAAACATCAAAAAATGTGTATTTATGTCAAAACAATTATCCCATTTGGCAAAATAACATCCGAGTGTTTTATTCAGACATTGCTGTGCATGATTATTATTTTTACTCAAAATTACTGAAACTTGATACACTAAAGAAGTGTGCCAATGTTTAGTTTATATAACTCAGTGTTTTCAACAGGTGTAGAAAGTTTGATTGATGTCTGGTTTAATTCTGATAGAACTATTTTCATCAGAGTTCCATTGATTCCAGCCAGTGATTACCAAAACAGGTGTAAATTGGTCTCAATATTCCAGGATTTATCTTCTACATTTACACATTCACCAGGTTGTTGAGTTTATTTGAGATATCAGATTGTATGTGTGTTGGCACTGACTGCTTCTGCAAGATGCTTGATTTGATTAAGTCTGTATAGGAATTACCAAACAATAATGGTTGCATGTAATGGCGCCGTAAGTTGGGGGTACAGTGCAGGGGGATATTTGTTTTCTCACTTAATTCCTAAGAAATTTTGAAAAATATTTTCATACTTCTCGGCTACAAATATGTGTCTGAATGTATCAAATCAATTCTAATTTTCTAATTTTTCTTGTGAGAAGAACCCCTACCCTCAGTGCTTCCACATTTGAAATATCAACCCCAATAGTTGTCCACCCATTAAGTCAGTCTGCCCTGTATTTGTACCATAGTCCAAAAAAGCTTGGGCCACCACTGATTAATGGTATTCGGACCTTTTATCAGAATGAAATAAATACATTTATTATGTCTTGTCCAAGAAAGTAGTGGTCAGTGACCAATGATGTCAGTCACAGAGATGACATGGCTAAAGGATTCAAATCTGGAACACCAGACTGGACATTAGTAATCCCCTTCAGCAGTTGAAAACGGAGTAGTTGATTGCTGATAATAATATTATTATGGTAATATTTACCTCAATGCAGAGTGCACACAGCATTCAGGGGAAGAACAATGGGACATTAACTTTTATGATTCAGCTGTTTGAAAGAAACATAAGTGATAAAAAGTTGCAAGTTGATAATAAAAGGTGAAAATGTTATGTAACAAGTGTATAAGTAAACTTTTCTATACAGATAAAAAAAAGTATAAAAAATAAATGATATCAAATAGGAAACATCTGTATATAATACTTGGTATTTTTATAACCTATAATCCCACTAGTAAAAACTTCTACTAGTTTAGTGATGATAGTGTGAATGAAAGAAATTATAGAATGAATCTAAAGTTGTATGATGGTGTCTTGGTGCAGATTCAAGATTCTATTGAAGCTTTGTTCACACTGTTTTTAATTCAGTTATAACGAAGCCAGCGTGTTTATTGTCATGATGGACATGATGAATAGTTGAGATTATTACCAATCATGTCTGATAAGAGACCCTTTTTATCAATTATATCTGATACTACCAGTTAGACAAGAAGAGGTCTTTATTGCTACTCATTTTTGATTGGAGATCCTTGTCATTGCCAGTCATGACTCATAGGAAATCCTGTTTGCTGGTCGTGTCTAGTTAGATATCTGTTTGTTTGTCATGTCTGGTTGGATTTCCTGTTTGCCAGTCATGACTTATGGGATATCCTGTTTGCTAGTCATGTTTAGTTTGATTTCCTGTTTGCTAGTCGTGTCTAGTTGGATATCCTGATTGCCAGCCATGACTAATAGGATATTCTGTTTGCCAGTCATGTCAAGTTGGATATCCTGTTTGCTAGTCATGCCATGTTGGATGTCCTGTATGCTAGTCATGTCTAGTTGGATGTCCTATTTGCTAGTCATGTCTAGTTGGATATCCTGTTTGCTAGTCATGTCTAGTTGGATGTCCTATTTGCTAGTCATGTCTAGTTGGATATCCTGTTTGCTAGTCATGTCTGGTTGGATGTCCTGTTTGCTTGTCATGTAGAAACTGATAAATGATCTATAACACCAGTTATATTAAGTAGGCTATCATTTTAATCATGTCATTTGCATGAAATTATATTAAAAATTATTCAAACTCTAACTCATTCATGCGTTATTTGTTATCAATGCTATTTTTATTGGCAAACTAACTTTCCCTTGCTTTGAATATTATATAATATGCTTAACACTGTCTCTTGGCTTTTTAAGCAACTACTAGTACTAATAGTTGTATAATTCACTGTTATGGACAAATAATTAATTGTTTCTAGAATTCAAATGGTAGCATTCCACATTCCAAACATACATTATATTGCACAAACAAAAAATATTTTCAGTGGTAAAATAGTGCTCAATACATCAATTACAGATGATGTAGAAAAATTATAATGTACATGTATATAGCATCTGTTGCAAACTCATACATCAATATTAATTATACATAAATTATACATTAATTATATACAAGGCTTATATATACAAAATTACTAGTATAGTATCTGCGCAATATATATTTATCTTACCTTTAATATGTTATTATAAAGAACCCAATATAACTTATACTATTGATCATTATTGATGAATTCTGTATGTTAGTCATTTAGTGCAAACTATTTGGTCAAACTTTTTATGAGTGCTAAATACACCATACAGACATTGATGATATATACAGTGTCAAGCTATTGCGAACTTTTTCTTATACCTAAACTGCAATACCAACCTTTATTGTATCACAGAATACAGCAATTTGATTGGATTGTATGCCAGCACATAAAGCGAATCAGGGCCCTCGACAGAAAGACTGAAACATCATGGCTTTTTATTGGCTCTACAATCCATCCAAATTGCTGCTTTTACAAACTTCTGTGATACAAGAAATGAGGCTATTGCTGTCAAGGTAAAGATAAATCAAATCATAATGAAACGCCTTCTTAATGCTTTTACTCCTAAAGCTTTGTTTTGAAGGTTTTTTTTTCCCTTTCTCATTATAACAGTGTGGGTGTATATTATTCTGACTAGCAATCTATTTTTTCATTTCTTTTGTTAAATGTGATTTAGTTTATACTGCTTGAT